TGTTGGAATTGATCACCAGTAATCATATGTAGTGTTACACCTAGAAAACTACGAGAATTTAGTGTATCAGTCCATACGTCACATGTAAAGCAGAAATGTTTAATTGTAGAAATTTTTTTCTTCATAATAGTAAATAGGGTTTCATATTTTTCATCCATTAAAAGAGAAATTTTTGTTTTCCCAGGTAATCTATACAACGGAGACACCACTTTCATTAAGTATTGAAAACCAATTTTTTCAGTTAAATTTAATGGTAAATTATCTTTGGCGATTGCAAAGAGAATTGCATTTGTTATTCGGCTTGTTTTATCGCCTTTTTCACTGAAAGATTCTATATCACCAAATGCATCATCAATTTTTTTTTGTCTTCTCTTAATCTTCTTTGGAGGGTTAGGGCTTCTTTCTTCAGACTCCTCGCCTGATGGATCAGTCTCAGTCTCCGTCGCTGTTAAAGTGTCGGCCTTTGATAATGTGGAAGTGGAAGGACCAGGATCTGCTGCTTTTTCTTCATCTTGCATAATATACATATTTCTGTGGCTTCTTTTCAGGTGATTGAATAAATTTGTGGTATTTCCACTTGATTTAAATTGTTTTTGGCAAAGCTTGCATTTCCCCCCTGATTGATCTTTAACGAAGTAATTCCAAACGTCGCTCTTCTTAGATCTTGGCATTGTAACTGCATTAAAAAAGAATTACTTAATAACATGTTTGAAAAACTCATGGCAATGTGTGACATGTGTTCTACTTGAGGTTAAAATTTGAATAAAGTGACCATACGTCCTGTATTGTACAGGACGGTCCTGTTTTCAAAGGTAGTGTTCCGCATTAAATAAGTCCTGTAAAATGTTCTGTATTTTTAATTAATTTTATGCGAAACACGAATCGTCAAACGCCTAATCACTTTATAATGTGCGGACTTTGATGAAAAGCTTAAACAAAAAGAATACATTTTAAAATACTTGTATTCATCGCAAAAGTATCTTTAACTTATTAATATAATTTTTCTTTAAATGTTTAATACTACGTATGCTACGTAAGTAAAATAAAATAACTAAAAAAGAAACATACATTGTGTAATTGTGTTTAAGTATCCTTTTTCATGTTTATATGCTAAAAATGTTAATTTTTTGTTTTTAAAAAACATTTTTTAATCTTCTCCATCTCCGCAGTGCCCTGAATTGAGCTCAAGAAATTCTGGTCACTTTAATTAAAACAATGGCGAGCAAAAGCATGGTCAAAATATTACATTATGGACAAAATGAAAGCAACCGATTATATCAAGAAATCTGAACTCATCTCCGAATCCGAATTTCGGGTGAAAACATTAACATTCTTTTCCTACCACTTTTTAAATTAGGTAAAGCAGTAATAATAACTATAAGTACTTACGATTTGTATGCATACACCTCACTGAGCACACAGACACAATGGGAATGGCACTATAAAAAAAATAATCTCCGCAGTCCGCAGCGCATTTCACGCAAGTGTTTTGTTTATTTTGTACAGTGCATGTGTGATGTCTGCACGTGCACATCACAGGTGCACATTTAATTCAAGGAATAGAAATTGCATTGCGTGCAGGATCTGAATAAATATTATACAGTTTTCTACAACAATCAGTGACAAAATCGAAACTACTTTCGCTTTTTGCCAGTAGAGGGCTAAGACTTCTATATTACAAGGGACTTTACATTACATTTTTGATTTTTGGATGGTTCCATTCAAAGAAGATAGTGGGTAAGGTCTGAGGTGACGTATGAAGTAAAGTGAGGTTATAGTCGACCACAGTAGTCGACGGAAAAAGATTCGATTTCGATTCTCGGTTAAAAGAATCGATTTCTGAAAAATTGAAACAACTGCAAAATCGATGCAAAAGATTGATTTTTTTTGCGTATAAAATCGATTCTGCAAAAAATCGATTGTAGATCGACATCCCTAGGCACGACAATCACATGAGGTTTTGTTCGTTACAAATACGGTCCTGTGTTGCCCCAAGCAGACGGTCTCTGGCGGTCGTCCCTGCATAATTTATGGTTTTGGAGTTTTGCGGGTTGGGTTCTTTGACTAAAGTTGTAAAATATCTGTATGCTTTTAAAGTGATCTTAGTATACAACGCATCCATTTCAATATACAGGATTAGTATAAAGTGCCGGGATGATCGAATAATTTTGGTATTTGAAAAGTTTTCTTTTTATGAAATGTACCACATGTTTTCTTTTTTTTTGTCGCTGTCGGTTTGACAGACAGGGCCGCCTACTTCTTTTTTCTTATGGAAAACCCAGATGTTTTGACATTTTCTGAAGCAGAATAAAACACTACTTTCAGAAATTATTAACATGTATATTTCTACTGATACAAATAAATGAAAAAAATCACAAAAAAACACTTAAACACCATTGCCAAATTGTAAACGGAGAACACTTTGAACAGTTCTTGTAGTCCCATTCGTAGTTTATTATGTATTATTGTTTGCAAAGATGACGTGATTTTACAATATTAGGCGTTTTTTGTGTTTTTATGTTTTTATATTTTTTGTATTAGTACAAATAAACATGGTGATAATGTCTGAAATTAGTGTGTTTTAATAACATTGTACATAAGCATGTGTGTAAATGATAGCTATTGGTTTAATTATAGAAAAATTGGACATGGATACTGACGACGAGTTAACGGATGTATCTGAGATACAGGAAGCAGTGACAAACGAAGAGTGTTGTCATCGTAAGACTGTCGGCGCCAAAAGTGAGCATTTCATAACAACGGAGATTAGGAATCAGTTGAAAACCGTAATAGAAAATAATTCGAACTTGCCAACAAGTCCTTCCACCAACGATGACGGCTCTGTTTGTGATGTGTCATCTGGTAGCATGTACAGAGAACTGAAAAGACAGTGCCAATTCCATTTTACGTACAATTTTAACATCGATGGAGCACCAGTTTTCGCATCATCTAAGTGGTCGATGTGGCCTGTTCAAATGATCATCAATGAATTGCCTCCAATTGATCGTTTTTGTAATACTGTTTTGGCTGGTGTGTGGGTGGGAACCCACGAACCCGATGTTGCGTTGATGAGTACGATTATAGAGGCGTTTGCAAAACAGGCAAAACGACTATTTCAGGACGTTGTGTATGTGAAAGATACACTGTACAAGTTCCTACCGTTTGCTTGCGTCGTGGATTCTGGAGCTCGGCCGATTATTCAAAACAGGTTGTAGTATAACGGCTACTACGGTTGCAGTTGGTGCTATCATCCTGGGAGAACTGTAGGCAGAACCGTCAAATATCCCATAGATATGGAGAGTGATTTACGTTCAAAGGCGACCCACATTGAAGATTTGTTAGGAGTGCAGCCTAACAGATATCGACGTCCTATTCGTGGTGTTAAGGGTCCGACTACATCACTTCATTTGTCACCTTTTATCCTGTTTGGTCGTTTCCGGTTGAGTACATGCATGGGGTACTTCTAGGTACGTACATTATAAACGGATAGTTTCTTAGTTAGGATTATATATTTCCACAATCGCACATACAGAGCTGGTAACTACGTAAGTATATGTGTTGCAGGTGTTGTACGCCAGTTATGGGATACCTGGAGGCACAGCCTCGGTCACGGGGTGGACCGTCCATACCATATAACCTCACAGTGTGTGGCATTAATAAATAGCCGAATACGTACCATTCGACCACCTCAAGAAATTCAGCGTTTACCACGAGATATTAGTGCAGCGAAGTGGAAGGCAGCAGAGTGGAAAAATTAGTTACTTTATTATGCGGTACCATGTTTGTCGGGTATTTTAGACCATAGATATGTGGAACACTTGAGTCATCTAGTGGTAGCGGTGTATCTGCTGTTACAAGAAACCATTTCTTCAGATGATTTCTTAGCGGCTGAAGGTCACATAACAGCCTTTATAACAGCGGTGACACCATTATATGGGGAGAAGGCTATGACGTTTAATATGTCTAGCTTGTTACATCTCGTGGATAGTGTTCGCAAAACCGGACCTCTATGGGCCCCTAGCGCGTTTCCATTTGAATCTGAAATATACATCGTGAAACAAGAGATTCAAGGACCCGAGAGCGTGGCAGGACAAATAGCTAAAAATATGGTGGCTGCTAATATTTGTAAAGCAACTGTTGCGTCTACTCAACGTTTAACAGCGTCGTGCAAAACTTATGGTAGGAAAATTATATCAACCGTGCCTCTCCATCAAGGATAGGTTCAAATTGATGACGTCGTCATGTTGGGTACACCCATTACAATTAATGCTCTTGACTTACCACTGACAAGCCCCCTAGCTCCATCAACAACATTGCAAACTTTTACGTCGTGTATATATAAACACCAACTGTTGAGAAGTGCACAGCACGAACGATCGACAGTGAGGAATGACGAAAGATATGTGCAAACTTACAACTGTCAGTTTTTGAGGATATGTGAGATTGTTGTACAGAACGGTGCAACGGTGCACATATACGGCGTTAAAATCCATGTTCGCCCCTTGCTATGTGGAGGGGTAGAGTTACCACATATGTTTGAAGCGGACATATCCGAAGAAGCAATGACGTGTCGTGTAGAAGACATTGCCCGAAAATGCACACTGATCGAGGTAGACAATGGCAAGTATATCTGCACATTTCCAAATAAGTTTGAAAAGCACTAAAACAGAAATTTCGCTGTCCACGCTAAGTTCCCAGTGTCATTTATGTGTTTTTAAAACATGGCGTCGAACTATGTTCACAATCGGATGTTACAAGCCACATAAGATTTCCGCTCAGGATGTAACGATTGTCGACGTTTCTGTAGGTGACATGCGGGAGCATTGTGGCTGTGCTCTACTCTTAACGACGTTCATCAATGTGTGACAGGTATATGACTTTAGGTAAGCACACAGAACTTATAAATTATCAATATCATAGCAACGTATATTTAAGAGAGGCGCAAACATTCCAGGACAATCTATATAGTGATCACATATCATGTTGGTACACTGCTGTAGGATGGATTGGTATACTGGGATGTAGTTTCGAAACCAAACACGTAACGAAGTTGAGGTAAGTACAGACATAACTAAGAACGCGAGTCTATAATCGTATGGCTAGTTAACATTATAGGTGTACATTGTAATATATCACAATATGTACACGCGCACCGTTTTGCTTTTTGTGATAATATATACAACATCGTACACGCAAGAGGACGAAGGGGGAACAGGGTTGATTGAAATAAAAGACATAGCTAAGCAAACGAAATCTATGTTTCCAAGGAGAACATTTAATTGGTGTCGCTCTCTTCATTGTCTAGCTCTGGATCTGCAACGGAATACAATATTATGCGACGCGGTTGGTAGTTAAGCAATGTTTAGAACAAGTCCGACTCTTTTGGTAAGATGTTGTAAAATTGTGCCAAGCACAAGATCTGATATGTTTCGGTTTCTGTCTTTGTCCCATACACTCTATTTACTCACGTAAAGAATGCTCGCATTTCTTAGTATTTTAGGGGCCGGCAATGATACCTGCTTAAATTCAGCATGTCGGGCGAAGACAGAAACATAGACATACCGTTTTATAACACCTTGCCAAACTTAAAAGAATTCTACTAAAGCGTGTATAATTACCGGGGGAGGTCTCCTACGACGGCGGTGGGGTGTTCGGCGCAAATCTTGTATTTTGTCCCCTATCCACTTCTTCATATTGCCAAGTGTCATGGCTGTCGTCGCCTCGTCGCGGTGGTGCAGCCCTAAACGATGATTCAGATAATCTGGAAAAGACCATTTACATGTATCCCTTTTACTGTAATGTTCATGGCGTTATGCCTGTACACAGTGTGCGGCTTGTCAGATGAGACAAGTGAGGCAGAGCCTCAGCATACGGAACCATACAAAATGTTTTTCTTCGATACCACGTTATAGTGGAATGGTAATGGTCCCCAACATTGAATGTAAAAGTTACAAGTAATCAAGTTGGTATTTTTACGCGTAACAAGCTAACGTCCCTTTGACATGTCGGAAGTTGTTTAGAGTGGATAGCACTATTGTACGCATGGATGTGTGTCTGTGGATTATTATCGTATACATGTATCGCTTACACGAGTGCTTCCGTAGAGTGTTGAATACTGTTTACGTTACTTAATATTACTGGGCAACTATTAATGGTTGAAGCACATTCTTGGGTTAACAATTCTGAATTATTGGCTGCAATGTTAACATGTCAGTCACAGTTGTCAATGGTGACATGAGCGCGCTTAAAGAAACAATTAAGATGGTAGCTACTGAATTGGTGGCCACACGTACACATTGACATTAGGTATGCCATCATACAGTTTCATATATGTCGCCAACCTGACAAACTCAGCACAAACATTCATAGTCGCTCGGTAGTGTCGTATACCTTGTATCGCCAACAACTTAGTCGGGTTCAGCGCCGGTTTCGCATATTATAGTTACGTATTGTATTTAAGAGAGGCGCAAACATTCCAACACGATCTATATAGTCATCACATACCATATTGGTACACTGCTTTAGGATGGATTGGTATGCTGGGATGCAGTTTCGAAAGCACGCACGTACCGAATTTAAAGTAAGTACGGACATAACTAAGAACGCTGCTCTATAATCGTATAACTGATGGTTAACATTATAGGTGTACATTGTAATATATCACAATATGTACACGCACACCGGTTCACTTTGTGTGATAAAGTATGCGACATCGTACACGTAAAAGGACGAAAGGGGAACAGTGTTAAGTGGAATAAAAGACATAGCTAAGCCAATGAATCTCATGTTTGCAAACAGGACATTTAACTTGTGTCGCTGTCCTCGTAATCTAGCTGTGGATCTGCAACGGAATACAATATTATGCGACGCGGTTGGTAGTTGAGCAATATTCAAGACAAGTCTGACGTTTGGTAAGATGTTGTACAATTGTACCAAGCACAAGATCTAATATGTTTCGGCTTATATCTTTGTCCGATACACTCTATTTACGCACGTAAAGAATGCTCGCATATCTTAGCATTTTAGGGGCGGCAACGATACCTGGTTGAATTCAGTGTGTCGGATGAAGACAGGAACAGAAACATAGACATACCGTTTTATAACACCTTGCCAAACTCAAAAGTATTTTACTATAGCGTGTGTAATTACCGGGGGAGCATCTCCTACGACGGCGATGGGGTGTTCGGCGCAAGTCCTGAATTTTGTCCCCGATCCATTTCTTCATATTTCGGACTGCAGTGTCTCGCGTCGCCTCGTCGCGATGGTAGACCTCCAATCGATGGTTCAGAAATTCTGGAAGAGACCATTTACATGTATCCCTGTTAAATAAGTTACCCTTTTACTGTAATGTTTATCGCGTATAATGAATACGCATGGCGTTATGCCTGTACACAATCGATGCGGCTTGTCAGATGAGGCAAGTGAGGCAAAGGCTCAGCATACGGACCCATAAAAAATGTTGTTCTTCGATACTACGTTACAGTGGAATGGTAATGGTCCCCAACATTGAATGTAAAAGTGACAAGCAATCAAGTTGGTATGTTTACGCGTAACAAGCGAATGTCCCTTTGACATGTCGGACGTTGTTTAGAGTGGACAGTACTATTGTACGCTCGGATGTATGTCTGTGGGTTGTTATCGTATACATGTATCGCTTACACGGGTGCGTCCGTAGTGTTGAATACTGTGTTTACGTTACTCAATATTACTGGGCAACTGTTAATGGTTGAAGCACAGTCTTGGGTTGGCAATTCTGAATTATTGGCTGCAATGTTAACATGTCAGTCACAGTTGTCGATTGTGACAGGAGCGCGGTTAAAGAAACAATATGATGGCAGCTAGTGAATTGGTGGCCAACTGTACACATTGACATTCGGTATGCCATCATACAGTTTTACATATGTCGCCAACCTGACAAATACAGCACAAGCATGCATAGTCGCTCGGTAGTGTCGTCTACCATGTATCGCCAATAGCTTGGTCGGGTTCAGGGGCGGTTTTGCAGGGGCCTGAGTCCGCCGACTACACGTGCCCGTAACAGACGAGCACCGCAATGTGTCGATCCCGAAAACGGCGACCTCTAGCTCTTTCATGAACATGGAATCGCGTGTCCTGGCCATTGAAGCATCGGCGAGCGTGGTGCTGACGTAAATACCATGCCCAAGATGGGTCTGTGAACACGTGTGTGTGTTACGTACTAGTACTGGTGCAGCATCGACATGTACAGTGCTCATCTCGTATATTTATGATGAGCATCGCACATGACAGGCTGCAATAATTGTGTATAACAGAATTATGGAAATAGTATAAAAATAGTAACGCACTATCTCCACTGTGTGGTGTCAATGTGGGTTACATAATAACGGATGCGTATATACCTGGTCGCCGATACTTGCACCAATGGGTTGGTCAGCGGTCAGGCATTGCGATGGCGTCGTCATTTGCATGCCTACAAATACGCAATATATTTGCGATACATAACTAGTGAACCTCGATTACCTCGCATTTTGGCGATGACGTCTTCCTGTAGCTCACGGTTGAGACGCCTATACAGTGCCACCTCCCCTTCCAGTTCTTTAATTCGTTGCGCCTTGTGTTCGCTGCTTGCGGCTGCGGTCTCTCTACCTTCGGTGTTCGTGGCAAGACTTGGGGAGGGCAACCGCGAGGACAAGGGCAGTGGCGAGGGCGAGGGCAACGACGATGGCGATACAAAGTAATGTCTGGCCCGTGATCTTGATGGCTGGGGTTTTTGCAGTCGCGCCGGCACGGTCGCAGCCACTATAGCGTCATACTGCGCGACATGGGCAGCAGTGGGCGTCTGTCAATACATACGGACAGTAGGATATGTCGGTGTATAAGTTTGTCATACGAATATTGACTATGTATGTGTAGTGTAGTGCTTAACGTGTGGAAGGCTGGCGTGATACAAGCGCAATGTAGTTGATATCAATAGGCGATAAAATAGGGCCGTGTAACCAACAACAGACGTAACCACGATTCAGTATAAGCTACACATGCACTTGACATGACCTTACAGCATGTTACGACTAAGTTACGTTGTGAAGTAATGCGTTTAACGTCTGTCATATAGTAGATACCATGTGGGGGATCTTGCTAACGTTGCCAATACCTATTCCTATTACATTGAACATGTGTGATACCAGCATCAAAGGACTAGCTGTTATAGAACGGGAGGTTGAATGAGCGAGTCACAAAATACTCGGTCAGTGTAGAAGTGGGTTAACGTATCGCTGACGTCCAACGGTGTTCGGAATTCCCAGTGTGGAGGCTGTCGTGTGGTCGCATTTTAGCACGGTTCGTGTGTGGAGTAAGGAAGTTTTGGCTTACCAGTTTCCGCTTTTTCGGCGGCAGAGCGTCTTGGGATTGACCCAGAGATGTCCCTGAAGACGTGGTATCGTCTACCAGCCGTGTTGGGACCACGCTGACTCGTTTACCGCGCCGACGCCTTTGAACCTCCTTTACGGTCTCTGTCCAACAGTATATGGATTAACACGTATCAGCACATGCATGCGTCATAGTTGCATTGCACTAAATTAAGCATCCTCTTCAAACTACACACAATGTCAAAATTTCTATGTGGTCTCAGGATATACAGCCGCGGCGGTTCATCGGAAGCACCTATATATGTCTTTATTGTAAACTGTAAGTATATAGTACTGCAGATATCGTTGGTGATACATACAGTTGTCTATAGTGTAATGCATAATAATGTAGACAAATAATAATTACGTCGCATATTTACATAATCTACCTTTCCAGTAAGCTTTGTACTTTTATAGGATTCAATAACTACTCCAAGTCTTTTATCCTACTACCTACATTGTACTGACAATTAAATTGGTGACTACACAACACGTTTACTACTGTCCATGTAAATTATACCACCCGAATAGGTAAAACACCGCTTAAATAGTTAGTTCCTAAAGTATATTCTAGGTCACTGGAAAGGTACATTTTGCGCTGTGCCTATGCAGTCATTACATTCGACCACTTGTTACGGTAGTTACGACAGAGTTAATCTAATTGTATGTTTC